GCTAAACAATTGTTTCACTATTTCATAAATATCGTTTTCTTCTAACCAAAAAAAAGCCGTCGACCAATACTTTATCCCATAAAACCCAAAAATCAAAGTCGTCGACGAATCCTACTTGGATGTGCCCATGTACCGACGATATTGAAAACAAAAGGACGTTGAAAAAAAAAAAAAAACATCGATATTTCAAAAACAAATAAGTCAAATATAATGATATAATCTCTACATTTGGGACCGAACTTAACATGTGGTTGGTGTTGTACAAAGTAACCAACAATCGAACGTAAGTGGGATGTAAATCCATCCATAGGCAAAGCTATCTAAAAACTCTGCACATTCTGTGAAGTTAACAATTGACACACGATTTGAGTCCTAAACAATCCAACATTATTTTGGTTTAATTTGAGACTAATTGGTGATATAAAATGGTAAAGATTGTTTGATGCTATGAGATATCGAGAAATAGAAAGGATTATACTTCCTTAACTTGCAAGAAATTAATCCAGTCATATCGAAGGCTTATCAACATACAAAGATTATGATTTTGAGAGATGGGATTTATTACAAACAAATCAATGAAACAATGCTAAGTTTGGTTTCTATTATCAACAAGGTTCACTTGATTTTCACATATGATTTATACCAATCTTTCCTTTCGATGAATGACTGTATATTCCGAATAAGCCCCTAAATCAGAACAGAAAATTGGTGATTCCAACCATCTAAACAAATACAAAGAAACCTGCAAAATCATACTCATTGAGAAAATAGATGTGAAAACAGATTTTGGTTTTCATTTTCAAGTATGAACAGAGAATTGGGTTTGAAGAATAGTTTCTTGTCAGTTCTAGTTATTGAACAAATGAAAAAGATAAGTGTTTGTTACCTTAAGAGTGTGTGTATTCATGAATCATGACCAAGGCCAATTAGCATCTCGCCACGCAAACCGACATCCTCCAGAACTACTACTACAACCGCCTGCTTTAAACCCATCAAATTTGATGGTTTTATCAGAGTCTGACCCATCTAAACCGCCACGATGAAGTTCTTGATCCCTTTTCGCAGATTCCTCTCTGTATAATGGGTTTGAGTATCTCGGGTGTTGGATGAAAAGTACATTCTTCCACCAGAGTTTAAGTGCCTAAAACCGAATAGATAGATGATACACGTAAATTCGAGTTTTCAAATAGATCAACATATGTACTTTGAGTATAATGTCACTTACATGCCAATAGATCCATATTGCAACCTTATGAGGCATCAACCAGAAGAAAACTGCGGGATCAGACACCCGCGTTGCGGGTACTCTTTTCGCCTTTAATGTCGCAGAGAAATAGTTACCGTGATGAGGATGCTGCGATTCAATGGAGACAGATAAATCATCTCCTGGTTCATTTGCTCTGATTTTCCAATTCCCAAGCATATCCTAAAAGGTTAAGTAACTTCATTTAGAAACCTTCTGATCAATCCAACAAACTTATAAGATCAATTCAAAAGACAATAAACAATATAAGCAAAAACATACCATGAAAGGACTGACATGTAATGATTTAGCAATCAAGTCAGATTCAGGATCGAAAACAAACGTCACTCGTTCTCCCCATGGCGTATTAGTAACCTACAACAATCCTCTACTCATATCAATATACTAAACATGGATTTCAGAAGTAAGAATTCACAAAGTGAAGCTGTTGAGACAAATCAAGAAACATCAATTTCTATATATATACCTGAGCAATGCATTTACTTAATCGCTTGCTCGATCCATCCAAATCGTAACAATAATACAAACTCAATGGATTCTGTTCATATCCAACACTTGGAGGTATTGTCAATAGAAATCTGCAAACAAAACAACACATTCATCAG